TTTCGTGAACCGAGAAAAATTACTGACAACTTCTGATGAGGAACCGAAGGAATTGTTGTTGGTGTCTAATCAGTATTATTTATATGTAACCGGGACTTGTTTATGGAAATCTGTAATTATAACTGTGTCTGCTCATAGTTAAGGAATCTGTAATCTATTTGTGATGTGTGATCTGTAATCCGTAATCGGGATTCTCATAAAGAATAGTCGAATAAAAGGAAGAACCCCACCCATATTACGTGTCTACTCAGATGATACTCGTAAAAAGATAAGTAATCATTGACTAATTTGGAATCGAGACCACATGATTGGTAATCTGATAATTTGCCGCAAGAATTGAAATTTTGTCTATGTATATTCATGACTTAAGATTGAGAAATCATTTATGTGATATATTTCTGTGTGAAAGTACAAATGTTGAATGTTACAAATTAGTCCTCTATTGCCTTTTTGGAGTTTATAATGTGAACTGTTCTGCATGACATTGTGGACTTTGGTAAAAAAAAAAAAAAAGGGGGCCAAAGTAATTTGTGCTGTAAGAAGAGGAAATGTATATTGAGAGAGGATGTTACCCCTCGCTGTTATGATTGGTTAATTGAACATGATTTTGAATTTGATCTCTGGCCTTATCTTTGGATGGCTTCCTTTGCTTGGAAAAATGCTTGTTCTACCTGCTTCTATTGCCCAAATCCGAACTTATAATAGTGGCACATCTGCATGAATTTGTAAAAGTATATGATACTAGCTCTGATATTGTCGTAACTGTTCGATTCGGAGCATGGTCCTCTCTGTGTTACTGAACTTAGAAGTAATGCCATGAGAAATTAACGACGTGTACTGTGACCCTTCTTTCTGTAGTACTGACTTTGTTAAGAACTATTATATATTATTTTCAACCAATATAATGGTATAATTTTAATATGCTTTCAGAAACAGGGGGACACTACAAACAAATTGTGAAGCTAATGGCTATGTACTTAACAACTTATCTGTGACTATTGGAATAAAGTATACCTTGTTAAATAGACAGAACGTTATTGATGGGCTCTGATGTCTGATTTCATTATGTATAATACGATTTGAATCTACCTACATAATGGATTTCTTTTGAAAAATACATATAACCTTAATTGATGACTTACCTTTGAGTGAATTGTAATATATGATTTACCCAAGGAATTACTTAACTGGGCAAGTTTGAACATGTACCTTCTATTGAGAATTGCATATGAACTATTAATGCTGGGTTGATCTGGTTGGAAACTTAGTAGAGAATATTTTTATTATGATTGAAATTAACGTATGTTGTGGGAATTTATGAATTATGTGCTTGAGGGAATGCTATCTATAATGTTTCCGTATGTGAGATTGGTATGTTTCTGTACTTGAAAATTGATGCTATGGAACTTATGGACGGGAAAATATTGTGATTATAAACCCTGCCTACTGGGGATTTTATGCGTTGAATATCCTGTGATGGACTCTTGTAGTCTTATCCTATGCGACACGTGATCCTATGAAATTAATATAAGGAGTTGTTATTTTTATTCCTACAGGCCTGAAATAGACATCGAAACAACTAGTTGGATAAAACTATGAGATGCTTGTTATGTTAAGAACTTTTGAATAACTGTGATAAACATCGGATTAACCTGTGAATTGTTCGAACTGAGGAATTACGTGAGCATCTGTAATAGAATTGGACAATGACGTGAGGCTGAGATTTCTAATCTGTTACATAGTAAAACAAGTTTGAGGGACCAAACTTATTTAAGGGGGGGGGGAGTGTAATAACCCGACCCTCGTATGTGATTCTGATATATTTTCAGTCCCTTATTCTGTGCCTTCAAATGATTACTGTGAAATTTTATGAGAATTAAGGTTAATTAAGTGAATCCTATGATTATAGATGCATATCTGTTTAATAAGAAAAGTATCTGTCACAATTAGAATGTTTGAATCAGAAATTGAGAGCCTTAGAGGCTTGATAACCTGAAATTGATTTTACATTTGAAATCAGCATAATTTTTAAGTCATAATAAGAATTTTTGTGAAAATTTGATTTGGGATGATTAAACTGATTGATTTTCGTCTTTATTCACTTTTACACACACACATATATATATATATATATATATTCTTTGGACCTTTGACTTAGAGCCATTACACAAATATCTCCTGAGAGAGAGAATTAGAGAAGAAGAGAGTTGAGGGAAGAAGAGAAATTCAACAAGGAAGAGGATTGGGAAAATTGAGAGGGTTTGTGAAGATTTGAACCAAGGCATGTATAATCTACCTAGAATAACCTCTCTAATTAACTCAAGTGAGCTTTTCTAAACATTTTGTGAGCTAGAGTTTACAATTAAGGTAATGAGTGTATCAATTGATTAGTTGGAGAAATGTTCAATGATTTGTGTTACTTTGAGTTAATTGGAGATGAATTAAATTATATCCCTTCCTTTTCCATCTTGAATTTGTGTATGTATTTAGATGATTACATATTTGAGAAACTAAATATGGTTAGAAACTCAAAGTGATTAAATTGTGTTTATGAGTTTAAAGCTTTCAAGGATCAAATTGAGGTTGTGAAGTATGTTTATGGTAATAATACATTCTAAAAATTACATTGTTGTGTCTATTCTTCAACTCCTCCATGTGTTGGTTTTGTTGCATTTGTGGCTTGGTTCGGACTGCCTGATTTTGCCCAGGCCGCACGAGCGGCCACGGGCACCGCATGAGCAGAACATGAAAAAAATAGAGCATTGCATTCTGCTTAACCCACCGTTCGAGCGGCCTAGTCACTGCACGAGCGGCCAAAGTGGGCGCACGAGCAGCCATCCCTGTTTCAGCATATACTAGGTAACTTTGACTAAGCATATCTTTTGCATCCGGGCTCCGTTTTGAGTGATTCTTGAGCCTACAATCAAGCCCAGAAAGTCTAGTTTCAAATGGTAGTGGTCTCACCCCCAAATTCTAAGTACCGAAATAGTTATGCCCAATTTAGTGACGATTGTTCACTTTATGTTTACCGATTTGTGCCGTTTCTTCGCTTAAACCATTTTCCATCGATTCCTCCTATTTTCTGAGACATGGATTATAAGTTATTGAGGAATAATGAGCTTGGTATCACCATGGCTAAGTGATTAATTAATCAAAGAGAATAAGTAAAGAATCGGTTATAATCTTATATTATGTGTTGTGCATTGTGTTTGTAGGTCGAGACGAGGACATCGTCCCATTACTACCGGAAGCCGATCACTGTGAGTAGTAGTACAGTAGACGTACATTTTACTTACCGTTACTAATTAATGTTATTAACGTTCTGTGCTTCGTAAGTGATTACGTTAACATGTATATAAATTGTCGAGAACGACATATACTATAAATGTTGCACTTTGACTGAATTAACGAATACGATGAAATGGTGACATGAACGATGAAACAAATGTGTATAATGAATAAAAGGGAACTTATGTTCATTCTTGAATAACGGTTTTAGTGTAACTATGAAAGTAGACTGTTTTGCTACTAATGGGCTTGAGGCCGTTCAGTTATAACTCAGTGAGTATGGATATTTCTGAAGGATCAGAATAATTGGATAAGCTATGTGCATCCGAATGAATCTAAAATAGTTCTGTTGTGCTACATATGGACCCGAGGTCATTTAGAACCTACAATATGAATGCAAAAGTTTAACGTTATTATGTGCTCTCTGTAATATTCTTATTCTGCTATACGCGAGACCACTGTGTTAATCTGTAACTAAGTCATGAGAAATTATGTGCACTATCCCATAATGGTATTCTTAAGGAACTGAGGTTATTCTATTTCTGTTTATCCGTTCCGGTTATGCCATCATATGCATTGTTCGGTCTTTAAGACTTAATGATTTCTGGTATGGAACAAAGTGTTGTACGGAACTAAGTGTTGCAGCGTGAGCCGCCTCTAGAATCTATACGAGCCACCTCTTGAGTCCATACATATGTGAACTGAGGCCTATGGCCGTTTTGTGAAAGTTATGAGGCTTATGGCCGTTCTGTGACGTATGTGAGGCCTATGGCCAATCTGTGACATATGGGCCTATGGCCATTCTGTATGATCTGTTAGTATGAAACAAAGTGCTGCACGGAACTAAGTGCTGCCATGCGAGTCACCTCTAGAATCCGTGCGAGCCACCTCTTGAATTCATACATACATGAAAAGGGCTTAATGCCATTCTGATAAGGGCTGTAATGCCATTCTGATAAGGGCTTAATGCCATTCTGATAAGGGCTTAATGCCGTTCTGTTAAAGGGCTTAATGCCATTCAGTTCAAGGGCTTAAAGCCATTCTGGTTAAAAACGGGGCCTAAGGCTGTACTGAAATTAGTATAGAATCAGATTAACTACCTGTCTTTTACATTATATACGCTTTGCTCTGCATTATAATTCAAGTTGAACAATGAGTTATTAAAGTACTATTATTCACTGAGATTGTCTCACTTTGTATTTTATCTGATTCTGTAGGTAATAAGCCTGGAGGTCAGCCATAAGCCTCGATGCTCGTCTCCCTTTGTCAGCCTCTGTATGTCCAAGCATTTGGGTGAAGCCTACCCGTTTTGTGAAGTTTTGTTAAGTTTTGGCTTATATTCTGATTGTCTATAATTTGTTGAAGTTTCCAATGTTTTTGTTATACACCCAAACAAGGGGCGGGGTTGTTTGTGTGTTTGTAAATATTATTATCTGATGCACTGTTTGTGATCCTGGCATGATAGTGGTCGCTCAATGGATGTACTGCTTGTATAAGTTGTATTACTTATTTCAAATGACCCATTTGCTTTTGATGTGTAATAAGCTTGCACACTAACCATTTCAATGGTTTCTTTGGTAAAATAAAAGGCACCAAAAGGACTCACAAGCAGAGAAGTCTTGGCATTAAACAAGGGGAAGATTTACATATCAAAGACAAGCCCTCCCGTTGTAAAAGGAGCCTACTTATCCTAATTTCATGAAGATTTCACAATGTTTCTCAAAGCTAGATCCCAAGAGGTGGTTCCAAATGGTTGTATGGTGTTGATACTTTGTGGTAGGCAATCTTCTGATCCTTCAGACATGGAGAGCTGCTTTACTTGGGAACTATTAGCTATAGCCATTGCTGAATTGGTGTCACAGGTAGCTGCAATTTTTAACACTTATTTACCATTAAATGTCTTCGTTTGATGTTCACAAGCTCTTACATACCTCTAGAACACAATTTTTCTAGGCCTAAAAATGGAGAAACATGCAAACTATAAACCGAAAATTCCCTTAGGTGCCGTCCACAAAGGTCTGATTTCGCTTGTTATATATATTTTTTTTGCAAAATCTCTCATTTCTTAAAATTGGTTTCAATCATTCGTCATTACTCTCAAAATTCGTTACATACATATATAAACTATTCTTTAATTGAGTTAAAATGAAATTGTTATTAGCCTAGCCAAACCAAACCAAACCAAACCAAACCAAGTCTTAAGTCTCATCAAATGGGATCGGCTACATGAAATAGCTATGGGCAATTTACAAAAATGAGTATTCTTGATTGCTCTCAAAAAGCATTTCATATATATAAACTACGCTTTAATCAGAGTTAAAATGAAATTATTATGAACATGTTATCACATTGACTCATATTTTACTCTCTGAAGGTAAAATATTCATAACTCAAAAACGTACTAAGAGTTTGGTGCTCAAACCAGTTAGATTCTTAAAGCTTTCTGACTATTTTGGATCATGAAAAACAGAGTTCAATGTGTCCAAAATTAATATTTTTTTGTTTAATTTTTCTCCCTAACATTTTAAAAATATAAGTCATCTTGATGAGTTCTTTCCTTTAAAATGATAAAGTCAATACTTATCCCATCATTTGTGTATATATATATATATATTTGGCATAGCACTACCCTAAAATTATTTGCTTTATTTATTCCAATCTATTGATTTTCTTTCTTTCCTTCATGATAATAGGGATTAATAGATAAAGATAAATTAGACACCTTCAATGTACCTAGCTATTTTCCATTACTTGAGGAACTGAAAGATATAGTGGAGAGGGACGGATCATTCACAATTGATCATATGGAGGGGTTTGAACTTGATAGCCTACAGATGCAGGAGAATGATAAATGGGTTAGAAGGGAAAAGTTTGCAAAGGTTGTCAGGGCCTTCATAGAGCCTATAATTTCAAACCAGTTTGGACATGAAATCATGGACAAACTATATGACAAGTTCACTCACATTGTAGTTTCAGATTTGGAAGCAAAGCTACCGAAGACCACAAGTATCATTCTAGTGCTTTCCAAGATTGATGGATAGTTTTTTAGTGTTGTGAAATAAACTGTAGTCCCCATCACATATATGCTACTAGAGGGTTGTGCCAACGTATTGCACAAGAAGATTTGAGAAGGGTCAAATATAGAAAGCTTTTTGCTCTTGTGTGGAGAGAGAATGTTTTCTCGATTTAAATCTGTGATACCCAAATCGTAATGCTGGGAAGAAATGAGAAGTGAAACATGGAATTTTAATTTCTTTACCTTATGTATGTATGGAATTAGTGGTTGTTTGCTAAATATAACGTCTCCTCCAATTATTGTAATGTATTAGGATGGTTCTTGCAAAGAATTTTTTGCCCTTTTTAAACCTCAAATTGAAATATTTTATCAATAGTATCAAAGTCATATATAATAGCATTTCATTAATTAATTCATGACAGTGCATGTTAAGTGTATTTGTCTATGAGTCTTTTGAAAGAGGAAAAAAAAGAAAAAGAGAAAAAACTCATATTCAGACGTAGAGGAAAACACGTGATAAGGATTTCAAGGGTTAGAATTGATATATTTTTAAATGTTGATGGTTTAATTTGAAACAATTATGAGTTTCTTTGTTTTAGTGTCTCTTATGCTTTGCTACCTATTTGGGAACCTCTCCAATGTGGTAGTGTTGCTGGTTGTTCCTTCTTGTTGTTTTGGATTGTACTGATGTATTATTTTTTATATAATATTCCAATGTTCACTAATACAATTGGTTGCACTTTTTTTTTTTTTTTGCTGATCAAAACAATTTCAAACAATCAAAAAGTTAGTATTTTCTTTGTTACAGAAGCCAAACTTTAGGTGTGTTTTTTTTTTCTTTTCTTAATAATAATAATCTTCGCAAAAGATTAACAAAATTGAAATCCTGAATTAGAAGAGGTTTTGTGTGATATTTTTTAAATTTAGAAAATTTAATCACAGCAAGCTAGCAATTATATTTTTGAGTAATGCCAAGATATAATTAAATTTTTATATCAGATTTTCTTAGAAAATTATGTGCCATTACTGTTTTTAATGTAATAGACCTCACCTCCACATTCATTCATAGATCATTTTCAAGGCCAAACATCATTCAAAGTTCAAATTCCAAATCTTGAATACAACAAGCACAATCTCATTAATTGGAACAAACATGAAATGATCTATCTAGCAACAACAATTGCAAAAAGAGACAAAACACACATGTATGTGGGACCCACCCCTTGTGAGAGGATTGTATCCCATTCTGTGTTTGATTTTTGTATTCTTAACATTGTTGTTTTGATTAGTATGGGTGCCATTGGGTGCTAGCCCAACTAGGAAGAAATCCTGTAAACCAATTGTTAATAAGGTCAAGCCTAAAGCCTGTTGGATGGAAAAGAAGGCTTTTATCATTTGCTGGTAGGTTGACTTTGCTCAAGGCTACGTTATCTAATTTGCCAGTGTATTATCTCTCTTTATTTAAAATGCTAGCAGGAAGAGCAAAGGAGATTGAAAGAATTCAGGTTGGTTTTCTATAGGGAGGACCAGATTTGAAGCGGAAATTACACTTGGTGAAGTGGAAGGAGGTTACTAAAAGCAAGATGCAAGGAGGGCTGGGGATTCGAAGAATTAGAGATTTTAATGATTGTCTTTTGATAAAGTGGTGGTGGAGGTTTGCTAATGAAGATGAGGCTTTATAGAAGAAGGTGATCTAAATGGGGGAGTATGGTTTCCAACTTTGAACCAAGGTAAGAGGGCATCAAAGTTGTGGAGTGATATTTTAGCTTCTGCAGAGCACAGGCCTATGATGTTCAATTTTTTCACAATCAATGTTCAGATTAGTGTGGGAACAGATTGAGGTTTTGGCCGGATAAATAGTGTGGTGATGGTTGTTTCGAAGAGAAATTTCCCAAGTTGTTTAGGTTATCCACAGATAGAGGAGGTTCTTTAAGGTCTTTTGTTGAAAAGCAAGATAGTACTGGTGGTTGGGAAATTAGCTTCATGAGGAATTTATTTGTTTGGGAGAAAGTGGAACTAAACAAGCTCAGAGAGGAGTTATGTCTGGCTCCATCACTAAATAGGAATGAAGAGGATAAACCAGTTTTGTTAGCAGCACTATCAGGTCAATATATTGTTCCCACCCTCTATAAGTATACAGATTTGGAGGTTGGTGAGCAGTCTACTGTTAGTAAACTGGTATGGGTGAATTATCTCGCACCCAAAGTGCAATTCTTTGGGTGGCTTGCATGGAAACACAAGGTGAAACCATCTGATTTTCTGTAGAGGATAGGAAATTTGGATGGAAGTGTGTCTTATCAGTGTGCGTTCTGCAATAATAAGCTAGAAACAATTCAGCATGTGATAATCTTATGCCCTTTGGTTTGGAGGGTGTGGACTGATTTGCTACAGTGGTGAGGAATTCAATGGGTGGTTCCTAAATCAGTGGAAATGTGGGTACAATGGTGGGATGCTAATAGTGTCAAAAAAATCTGAGAGGAGAATCTGGATGGCTTAACCTCTAGTTGCCTTGTGGTCTTTATGGAAGTATAGAAATGATTGCTTGTCCAACGGTATACAACCAATAATGGGGGAGCTGAAGGAGGCAATCATCATCAAATTAGCTATTTGGTTGAAGGCTTACTTCAAAGAGTACCAGTATTCTATTTTTGACTTTTTATTTAATTTTTTCTCATATTAGAAAATGTTTAGCGGGCTGAAAGCTTACAGATTTTTTGTAAGCTCGGGCGTTTTTGTCGTTTCTATTGTTCTATTGGAATCTTTCCAACTCAGTTCTGGGGGTTTGAGTTGGTGTTGGTGAAGATGGGCTACTAATGCTGTACTTGTTAATGATGCTGGTTCTACTTCGTGAAAATGAGTATTTACTCTATGGTGGTTGATCTGTGTCGGCAGTGATCCCTTTCAATTGGCTGTTGTTGCTGATGTTCCTGCTTTGACGTCCATTTTCTATTGATATGGGTTGCTGCTAGTTTTGTGTGGGTAATGATCTTTTAATTGGGCTACTGCAGCTGATATTTTGTTGTTGTCCTGTTTTATTATTGTGTCTACTGCAACTGTTATTTTGTTGTTGTCCTGTTTTGTTGTGTTTTGTAGTTTTGGGTTATTTGGTATGAATTAGTCTTGGTTAGCTTTTGCTTGGTTGATGTTGATTTGGGTGTTTGTGGTTGGTTCCTCACCTAGTCTTGATGGTATGCTAGCATATGATTGGGTGGTCTTATTGGTACCAACCTAGTTGGGATTGATTTGGCTTGCTATGATGTTTTTGCACTCATCCTCTTTTTTCCTTTATTGTTGTAATAGTTTTCTGCTTCATTAATAAAATTCATTTTCTTTGCTAATCAAAAAACATTATTGTTTTGATTATTTATTTAGTTACTAATTATTTCTTTTTATAATGAAACCTACACAAGGTTGTAATCCTATCTACACATTATTGTCATTTTTTTTTTGTTTAATCTATTTTGATAAAAATTAAATTAAAACTTTTTTTTTTTTTGACTTTGTTTTGAACAAATTCTTACAAAATTGCATTGTGGGAAAGAAAACTATAATGATTTTGCATCTAAAATAGCTCTAAAACATTAATCTAAATTTCTTAATTTTTGTTAATTTTAAATTTTAGTAAATACACATGTTAAAAATTTAAATCCTCAAAATAAAAAGTAAAAAACTTTTAAAAGGAAATTTCAATGTAACTTTAGTCTCATACAATTTCACATTTAAAAAACATTTACTTCTAAATTTTTTGTTATATTTTTAAAAACTAAATAATACATGTGGCACCTAAAAATTTAAAAACTTATTAGGTGTCAGTATATTACAACACATTTATTAATAAAAAAGAATGCGTGTGTGTGTTTAATGCATATTTTTACGTTGGGAAACACTATAGTGCACACGTTCAAATGGTGTGCATCATGTGCACCTTACAACTAAAAAAAAAGAATGGTATAATTTCAATTTTCTGAGTCATAACTTAAATATATATATCTTAACTAAACCCAACATAAGTTATGACTACAGAATTCATGAGCAATAATTAAAAAAGAAAATTGGTCATAACTAAAAAAGAAAATTGTATAATTAGGGGTGCATATGGTACACCCATTTTAAACAGGTGTATATTAAAATTTTCCTTTTACGTTACATAAAAAATTACATGTGTCAATTCAATGTTTAAAAATACATTAAATAATTTTTGAGATATAAATATACTTTAATAATGATATAATAGATAATAGATATATTTATAGAAAAATTATTTCTTAATTAAAATTTAAAAGTTTTAATAAATATACCAAAATAATATTTGTATGCATATTTTCTATTTATGTTATAAAAAATATTAAATATATATTTTCTATTTAAAATTTCCCTTTTACATTACATAAAAAATTACATGTGTCAATTCAGTGTTTAAAAATACATTAAATAATTGTTGAGATATAAATACACTTTAATAATGATATAATAGATATTAGATATATTTTAAAGCTAAATATATGTCACACCCCACTTTTTATGCCAATGGCTACCATTACCAAATCCTTTATTATAATACAATTTCAGAGATCATGTGCGGGAATTCAATACAATAGCGAGTTTCCCTTTTACATTACATAAAAAATTACATGTGTCAATTCAGTATTTAAAAATACATTAAATAATTGTTGAGATATAAATATACTTTAATAATGATATAATAGATATTAGATATATTTTAAAGCTAAATATATGTCACACCCCAATTTTTATGCCAATGGCTACCATTACCAAATCCTTTATTATAATACAATTTGAGAGATCATGTGCGGGAATTCAATACAATAGCGAGTACTATTAGTAAAGGTTCTCTCATTTGAATATGAAATGAATGCAACATGAGATAAAAATAAGTAAACTATCCGTAGACTTACATCTTTTAAATTAAAAGAAAGGGTTTAACCCTTTTACATCAATGGCATTCCGCCTACAAATAAAAGGCCCCGTGGCTAACACATAAAGAAGATCCTCTATCTTGAACCC